GGGCTACTCTTTTACCAACGAATAGTGGGATTAACCGTCACATATAACGCCCTTACGGCTGAAAGGGCTAGCATGTTTGGTGTGACGGGGATTCGACCCCTCGACCCGCAGATTACGAATCGAGCGCCCTAGCCACCTGGCCATGCCGGGCCGTTTTTCTTTATATACTACTATGGAATATTAAAAAATGATTTTAATTATACATGAAAGGAAGAGGGGGGGGGACGTAAACATATTAACGAAATGATAGTGTAGCAGCAAGGACCCGATTTTGGAGATGGAGTCTTTTACATGGTAGGATAAAACACAAATGTTTATAACTCTAATGTCCGCCGTATGTGAAATGGAAGATTCTATAAACATATTTTATTTTAAGTTATATTTTACCATGTTTCTATGGTAACTGCCTTTGTAGATGTAGTAGCATTTTTTTGTGGCTAGAAGGGTCAAGAAGGATGTTATAATCCTTCCTCTGTAAACTTGTTGCTACATAGCTTTTTAAAAAAATATATGATCTATATACATCAATGCTATATAACAACAGACAAATTATTCAACTGATTTGACTTTTTAGTCGCGGCATAATGGCTCATAGAATGGTTGAGTTTTTCAAGTACAAACGTTTAGCTCATAGTTCCGCCATCTCTTGGCCGATTTAGAACTAATTACAGTTTTGTACTCGGGAGGTCAAATCCTTTCGATTGATGTAATTGACCACGCCGAAGGTCTCGTAGATTAATTTACTCCAATCCTGCTTAAAAGAATTTCAATTTGAGGGTAAGCTGGTAGAGGTTCTGATGAGTAAGAAAATCGAATCTGGTATACGAGCGCCCCACGCTTGTTATTGCTGGCGCACAGAAATATAACTAATAAAAAAGAAAAGAAAAAAAGGTCTCATAGATTAATTTACTCTAATCCTGACTAAACGAATTTCGTCCCCCCAGTGGCACAGCGGTATGTCTGCGGACTTACAACGCTAGAATCCAGGTTTCGATACCCGTGTTGGGCAGAGCACAGATAGCCCGTTGTGTAGCTTTGTACTTAATTATAAACAACCAAACAAAAGAATTTCAAGTGCCGCGGCTATTGAGGACTCCCTCTTGTTTTTAACAAGACAGCGGTATCGACACAAGTCAGACATTTGTGTTATACTTTAGTTTTTCGCGTTGTCTTGTTTTGAGCTACTTGGATAACTTGGGGAATCTTTTCAAACGTTTTGGGCCGTTTCGTAACTCAATATACCTGCATACAAAAAAGTTAAAATATGTTTTTTAGAAGTACTTCTTTCTAACACTAACACTGACTGCATGGCTTACCAACCATGGAGGATACCGAGTAACCAGCAGAGAAAAAAAAATCGATACAAATCTTTATACCACCCACTCCAAGACCCCCCAAACAAAGTAAAAGACAAAATATTTGTGAAATATTCAATATTAGAAAATCTAAGTATTCCTCCTTAGCAATTAGCTGTTTAAAATTTTATATTTCTGTTCTTAATCACAAAGCTACACAATGGGCTATCTCAGCTGTGCCCGCCACGAGTATAAAATTCCCCTTTTTTTAACGTTATAAGCCTTCAGACTTACAGCTGAGCTACTGAGGGGGGATATATAACATGTAATGAACGTTTTCAATATCTTGACTTATTAATGACTTTTTCTTCATTATTTTTTTTCTATTAATACACACACACACACATATATACAGTTTTGACGTGTGTTTTGTTTATCATGTTTTATTGTGTGAAACGTTTTGGCATTAAACACTTGATCAATAATGATAATATGATCTACACTTGAACTTAATTTTTTTTCGGTAGAATTTACTATTTCTCAAACGAGTTGCTTATGGGTCGATTAAAATGTTTAGTTTCCACACAGAAACCGCTAAGCGTTTACATGGGGGAGTCTGGTGGCTCATCGATGAGATTAACAACAGGTCATTGAGCGCCACCTGTTGCCTTTAACAATAGTTAAAGAAGCAAACAGTGAACGAAACAGCACGTCCAACAAATAATGCTCCCCAGTGGCACAGCGGCATGTCTGCGGACTTACAACGCTAGAAACCGAGTTTCGATACCCGTGGTGAACAGAGCAAGAGCACAGATAGTCCATTGTGTAGCTTTGTGCTTAACTTCAAACAAATAATGCACTAATATAATAAATAAACGGAGTATTTCGAAAATTGTTTAATTTCAAAGTTTAAGTTCAAGGGGGGTCCAGTTCATGTGTTATTGGGATATACTAGTTTCGGAGAATTCCACTCCTCATCAGTAACTCTGAACACAAGTTAACCAAAGAGAGATAAGCTGGACCTATATCACAGTGAATAGTATCAAACATACTGTTGGTGTGAATGTGCTTTGTAGTCACTTTGTGCTTGTTAATTTTTTCACGATTTAGGGCCGTAATATACGTTATTCAGTAATATTATTATCTATCATTACTCATAGAATGACCAACAACTCCACCTGTTTTAATTAACTTTGAAAGAAGTTTTAATATTAGGAATAAACGAATTCATAACACCAAATTTGTTATTAATTTTCTTTAATTGGATATTCAACGTTTTGCTTTGCAGCTTCTTCAGGAGCATTCCATTAAAACATACATCGTAATGTTCTGTGTTTTAGTGGAATGTTTCTGAAGAAGCTGTAAATCGAAACGTTGAGAGTCCAATTAAGGAAAAATAACAAAGTTCATGTTATAAAGTCGTTTATTTCTAGTATTAAAATGTCTTTTATACACCAATATGCTACACAGAAATTAAATAGTGAACTTACTCACCCTTTTAGCCGTGGGAGAGGGGGGAGTTATAATGTCCCAGTCAATTTCACTCTTCGTTGGTAAAATAGTAGCCCAAGAGTTAGCAGTGGGCTGTGTTGGCTAGCTGCCCTCCTTCTAGTCTAGCACTTCAAAATTAGAGACGGTTTGCACAAGTAGTCCTCGAAAAACTTTGCACGAAATTAAACAAACAATTCTAATCAATTGAGCCCTATGCTCATTACAAGATGTAAAACTCCCTCTAGTGAAAAAAACAACAACATATAAATGTCTAAGTTCAAAAATAGCACACAACAATATTAACATGTATGTTTGAGTAACCAAATTATAAGTGGTATGTTCTTGTAATTTTTTCTTTTCTTCACCAGAACATATAATTTTAATGAAGAAAAAAACCTGTGAAGAACATAAAGGTGTAATATATTCTTTAAATGGCCTTATTCAGAGATAGAATGAAAAGTCTAGAATGCAAACTCCAGTATCTGACTTAAAAAAAAACAATTTAGAATCTTAGGTATAGACTTGTTTATCAGCAAGGTATTTTACTGTGAGAATTACAAACAATATCATAAAACACCCTTACTCTACTGCGAGGTTCACGGCCCCTTCATTATTCCAGATTTTTCCTGTAGCTACCACAGAAGAGGTCCATACCCGAAAACAAACCCTCTTAGGACATTTGCTACGTTTGGTCCCGCTAGCTTATGAGTGGGGTATGAAAACAGTTTCAATCGTGATCCAGAACGTAAAATCTGATGCCAGATTCAGGAACCACAAAGAAAAAACTTCTAGATCTCAATCATGCCGGGGTAACACGCTTGCCAAGTTTAGGCCTTCTACTTCCAAAACTGTGGGACGAGTCTGCAGACACATACATAGACAACATCAGTTAATATAGAATATGCAATGGTTCACCTGATACTGTTATGTGTGTTGTTAGTTTAATCTTTTTTTAAAAGTTGTTTGGGCATGTAGTGTGTATAGATGTGAATGGGCTCAAGTTTATTGTTAAGTTCCAAAGCTATGAGACAAATAATAATAATAATATCCTCATTATGAGTATTTCGGAAAGCTAAATTTAATCAATGCACTATCGTTATATATATTTTATACTAGCAGAGACCCACAAATTATTTGCGGACAAATTAGTATCCTTATTGCGTTAGTATTTCTTTAAATACAGTATTTCTAGATTAACACAAAATAATTCTAATCGCAGACACCGAAATCTGTAAGTTCACTTGTCTTAATTAGGACTAACATTAGTTAAGCCTCTATTAAGTACGGCCTATGTTCAATAGAGATAAATTAACACTGTACGTTTTTTGGTTTTAGTTTATTTATGGCTGAATTTTACTGTACTTAATACTATCAATATATAAACATTTAATATTATTCTACGACTTAACGTTAGACCTTTTTAAAACTTTGATAAATTTTCAATATGTTGTTGTACAAAATGTTTACTAAAGTATATTTACATCTGCATTTTGTTTGCATGCGTACATTTGCGGGACAGACAAATACTGAGTATTATTATAATATATTGGCAACTTTTTTAATTGCATTTTTGCATAGAGAGTACTAGCACGCTCTCTGAGATATATGAGACATTTGTGTGCCTTCCCCTGTGTGTATGTTGTGTTAAAGAAAATTTAATAAAGTTTTTTGTTTTCGATGTAAAGATGTGGCGTCATCTATGAATGTAATTATCGTTAACGTACTTCAAAGATAATGGTTGGAGACGGCTTGAATGGTAATGACGAAAAAAAAAGAAGATAATAAATGCTTAACAACAGCAACAGTAGAGGGTGGAGGGGTTATGACCCCCCCCCCATTAACATGACCCTTGTTCCAAACTATCATCCCACAAAGTTTGGTTGAGATTGGCCTAGCGACATAGGAGTAGTTAGATAATGGACAAAGAGGCTTTATATAAATAGATAGATTAAATATTTGCACAACATGGCGACGATAATGGGTTACGTTTACAAAATATATTTAAAAAATAATATAATATATTAACTACCCTACATAATAACACAATATTTTAGAATATTGTTACAGGAAATATTATATTTAGTGCAAGTTTGGGATGTTTCGGTATAACCTTGTTGTTCGAGTTTATTTAGTCAGTAAGTGGTCCTGGTTACGTCATTGGAGGTCTTGTGGTACAACTTAAAAAGTTTTGAAACGCATAAACTATAAGTGAGTTTCGTACAAATTAACTTATTTTAATTTCGTTGCTGTAATTTTATCACCTCAAACGCCAGTTGATGTTGAAAAAAGTTAAAATTTACTATGTTTTATAAAATCGAACTATGCAAAAATTGGGTATTACTTTTACTAGGAGTTGGATGCTATCGAAAGAACTAATGCCCATGATGGCAATACTACAGCGAATAGTAATAGCAACGTTAGTGACTTTAAGCCTAAAAAACATTTGTGTGCTAACAGAGATGGCGGAAGGAATTTGTGATAACATTAACAAAGAAGAAAGTACGGAGAGTGGATGTGGATGTTCTTTAAACAGGAAAACTCCTGAAGAAAACTTCAAGACAGTGTTAGATCGCGAGTCTGTAAAAACCAGTTCAGATGAATCAGAGTCTAGTCATAGTAGTACTATTCATTCAAATACATATTCTGATGTTGTTATTAATAAACAAACACCTGAAAATATTCGAACAAATCACATGGTTTTCATAAAAGGTGGAGAATTTCAGATGGGAACAAACAAGCCAGTTTTGTAGCTGACGGTGAAGGCCCAGTTAGACAGGTTAAATTAAGCAGTTATTTCTTAGATGTGTTTGAAGTCAGCAATAAAGAGTTTGAGGTTTTTGTTAATCAGACAGGCTTTGTGACAGAGGTAAATGATACACTTATCAACTTTTAAGTGTTAATACTGTCTCAAACAAGTTGGTTAGAGAGTAGATTTGAATATTTAATTAAAACATCTTGGTTGATGGTACAAGTTACAACACACGAGTATTACTGTTACTAGTATTACTATCACTATCAGACATAATGGAGGGGAGTGTGAGTTATTTGATATTACTGTCTGTGTTCATGGTACATCAAGCATTAACTTCAGCTTTATTAGTATGTAAATTATTTTAGATAGGAATTTTGTTGTGAAACTTTGTCAAAAATGAAATAATTTCGTTTTAGAAACACAGTATAAGAAGTGCTGTTCCTGTTTTGCATGATTTTCTCTCACGATTACCATTTATAAGTAGTTCTCAATTAAATATATCATGCCTGCATATTATTCACTGAAAAAATTTGGATATACACTGTTTATTATCCACACCAAATTCTTATTTTTGTTAAATCTGTAGCAGGAAATATCTAAATGTCTAAAGAAAATTCACTCTTTTTACATTATCTCATGTTTTCAAGGATAACCTTAGAATTAGAGTAACAGAAATGGTTTTATATGCTAGCGATGGACTTCACGTAAGCAGGTTAGGTAATTGGATGTATAGGAAAGCTCTTAACTATACTTGTTAAAAATAGTTTAAACTAGCATAATGATGAGGGACCTTAGGGGAAATTAAACAGATGGGTTAGCTAGGACAACAAGGAATTTTGATATAAGGAGACTTAGAGCATAGATTAAATGCCAGTTTCAGAGATAAGTCTGTCAGATTTAAAGATAAATGTAAGATTCGAGAATAAGCTGAGTTGTTTTTTTTCTATTGTTAATAATTTGAGAAACTAAATGGAGTTCAAAGCTCTAGTTGAAATGGAAAACTATGATATAATGGGAAGTACCGAATCTTGATTAGATATGGAGAACATTAACAATAGGAATAATTTTGAAATTCCAGGTTATAAATTAAATAATAGTCATTGATATTTTAAAAGTGGGAGTGGGTTGGCTCTTTACATAACATTGTGATAAACAGCACCCTGATAGGATTGGAAACATAAAAGATGGCAGTCAAAAAGTTGGATTTATATGGGTTACAATAAGGGTAGAAAGTTTGGCACTTGTTATAGCCCACCTGATCTAACAGGTGAGGTCATTGAGATCAGAGATGTTATTAATAGGAACACTGATGTAATAGTTATGGGAGACTTTAATTTTTAGACGCTCGAAGGTACCAGCTTAGCAATGTTTGTTATTTCAGATTCAGTCATTAGTTGACGAATAAACACCCATACATACCAACTCATTATGACTATCAGTATCATGCATAGATCCTATAACCATTTTCTACTTGTTTTACATCTTCTCGTCAAAGGCTTAAGCCACTTAGTGCAAGTTAAACCATGATTCATGACTAAGCAGTCATATGATGGTGCATTACAGTTGGTGTTAGAGCTGTGTGATCAACCTGATTAATCAATTACCTGTGAGCTTTGATTACATTGATTAAACTAATTAATGCCACAAAAATAATCAACCAGTTGAAATTAACCCATTGATTGTGGCTGCTCTAAACACGTGCAGAATTTTTTGCAAGCCATGCACCGTATACGCCGTACTTGCATTCAGTTGCCTGAGGCGGACCGTACCGTATATGGCAAATCAGTAGTCGATTGGTCAATGTTTTTAATTACTCCACTAATTGAAATTAGTGTTTCAGATTATTCTAACTATCCTTCATGTGAGCGTAGTTGATTAGTTAAATCACCCGAATGTAATCAATTAACGAGCCTGATCATTAATTGGTTGACAGATTCCACTAATCAATCAGCTCTAGCTGGTAGATAGGTTAACTATGAAAGGTTTATTGAGTTTTCATAGTTTTAAGACAAAGAAGTCAGATCTGCTTGTTAAAAGTGATGGGATCGTATTATGTTTCTTTGGACTTGATTTAACCATACATTTTAATCCTTGTTTTGTTTCTTTTAACATGATCGCACTTCATCAGGTCATCACCTAGTTATTTAATTATTGATATATATATATTAGTGTTATATTTTTAAGACTATTTTAAACCATATTTGGTTTTTATCATATATACTTTGGTTAATTGATTCGTTTAAAATTTGGTAAAATATTTTTTCGAAACAGGCTGAGAAGTTTGGAGATTCTTTTGTGTTGGAAGGAATGATCAGTGAAAAAGTCAAGAAGGGCATCACACAGGCTGTACGAAAATTAAATATTTGGACTTTTTTACTCTCTTATAAATAATTACTTAAGCACATTTTCATGTGATGTTAATGTTTATTTTAAAGTTCTTTTACAGTGAATAACTTTTTCTATTTTAATTCTTCACTATATAGTACGGTGAAACACAAAAATAATTGTAGACATTAATTTTAAATGAAATGGAAGAAAAATGTATATTTCCCGTGGAGTAATATATATATATACCTGTGGGTTGCGTTGACTGAAGATAGGTATAAGACATTATGTTAGTGACTTTAAATATGTATACATATGTATTGTATATTTGGTTTGTGTTTTTGTCATTCAGATTTCTTGTTTATTTTTACCATTTCTGTAATACCTTTGAAGAATTACCCAAAACGACAGATAATATATATTTAAAATCATATTTGAACATTTGAACAATTCTATAAATACATTTTGATTCATAAAAGCATTCTATGTTTATTACAATAAACATATACAATATTGATAACAATGAATAAAAACCCAATATGTTTATTACAATAAACATATACAATATTGATAACAATGAATAAAAACCCAATAAGGTTTAATGGTTTTTATTCATTCGTATCAAGACTTCTGTAACCTACGTGTTTTTTTCTAAAAATCACGAGTGCAATATTGATAACTGTTAAGGAAACAGTGAATAAAATACAAGTATTATTGGACTGTTCCACATCTGTTGTACTAAAGTTAATTACACCAAAGTACATGTGTAGTTTGCACGATGAGAGAGAGTCTCCAACCGGGTCAGATAGTGCCATGGTCTAAGAAGTTGTATTGTTCTCAACAGCTGTGTGGTGAATGTGCTTATGGTTCTCTAGACAGAAATGCTGCGTGACATATGTGTAGAAATTAATTTTTGCTGGTGAAGGCTAGTCTATGCAACAGACTGAGGTGAAATAGTGTGTGTCAGTAGGAGTTGAAGTTGCATGGGAAATTCTAAAAAAGATGTACGAAACCGGAACTGTTGACATTAAGCTTATGCACTTGTGCCAAAGCGTGCATGTCATGACTTTTTTACAAAGCTGTATCCAACATTTTAATACATTAATATCAATTCATGTCAGTAAACATCACAGCAAAACTTAGTTAATCGTTCAAATTTTTATATTACCCGAGTTTTAATTTCAATCTTCACTTTTTTATGTAATGTGATGTATCTTCACTCTGAACCCTTCCTTAGTGTTACTCACATAAATTCAGTTTATCTATTTCACTCTGTAAAAAAAAATCTAGAACCTGGCAACAACCAGAGAAAATAACAAAACAAAACAAAGAATTTCGGTGTTCTGCATCGTTCAAATTGGATACTTTTTAAAAACATTTATTCTTGTAATTTTTCCCTAACTTTTAAAAAGTACCTTGTATCTGAATACTTGTATCAGAAAACAAGAGAGAAGTTAACTTTGTCTCAAATATATGGTTTTGTTGCAATGTTTCTTGAACAATTAAGTATTGTTATGGCACTGAAGTGTATAATTTAAGTGAAAAAGCATTACATAAATTTTCTTGACTTTTCTCTCTCTTACCCCCCCCCCCCCAAATAAAAAAGAAGATACAACTGGTACATTTAATAAAGTAAACAGCTCATTAATGTCCATGTCAACTCTGTTGTTTACTCCTACAAAAATGTTATCCTTTGTTAACGGTGAAACCCACTTTTACAGTTGTTTCATTAACTTCAGATTTCTTTGTAGGTAGCAGCTGCCCCCTGGTGGCTCCCAGTAAAAGGAGCTGATTGGAAACATCCAGAAGGACCAGATACTGATATTACTGGAAGGTTAATTATTTTACTCGTTAATAGTTATTAATTATAAATATAGGTTTGGAATTTGTAGGGACTTTGAATAGTGTTAGAACTTAATTGAGCATAGTTTAAGGCTAGAAGACAAAATATTGGAAAAGATGGGTGTGGAAAGTAAGGTTTTAGGGAGTCAGGTGCTCAAAGGTCAAACATAGAAAATAACTTAAGAACAAATCCAGAAACTGAGATCAATGAGGCATTCTTTATTCATACTGGTATTTATCCTCAGAAATGATTATAGTGTTAACCTGACAAAAATGACGAATTTTGAAAAAGAACTAAGAAAGCATTTACTTCCAAACAAATTTGTTGTAAAAGTTTAAGTAATAAGTATTTTAAATTATTCTGCTTTAATTTCAGCTCATTATTTAGTATTTCGATTAAATGTTTCGTCTGCTGGTCTTAATGTTATACTTGCAGAATGTTAAATCATTATTGATTTTAATAATGCTTGAAGACGGCTCGAATGGGTAACGAAGAAAAACTTTAATATAAGTTTAACATAACAGCAAATGTACAACGTTTTGACAAGGTCTTGTGATGATGAC